CTATCGATTCAGATTTGTTAAATAGCAATTTTCCGTCCGAGTCAACAACAATTCCCTTGTAAGATTTTCTCCCCTCCCGTAAAAGTATCCCCGACCGTTATCAAATGTTCAGAAAACAGACCTCTGATCATGCGAATTCACGCCGGATGATATGGCTTGGGAACTACTGTACATTACTTGCAGAATGCTGGAGACATTGAGTTTTTTATTGCTGCGGATGTGGTCGAGCGAGAAAATGTTCAATGTCCAATTGTCCCATGCAATATTATAATATAACCAAAAATTTTGGACGGTTTTTGGATGAAAAGTTAGGTTTAACAGGTAGTTAGGGTAGTCCAACTCTACAGGGTGTCTCAAGATTATCCGGACAAAACGTTTTTAATGGCTAACTTTTAATAAAAAATAGGGTCACGAGCGCCTAAATTTATTGAAAACAACAAATAGACCCAAAAATCTTAATTTTTGAGCCTGATCACCACGATTTTAATGGATAGAAAACTTGAACAGCTTCCACAAATAAAATAGCCGTTTCTCGTGTCTCTTTTTGCCAAATCGTGTCCAGAATTTTTTAAGGAGCATAATCAGACGCGCATGTAAGCGATGTGACATGCTACAGACATTTGTCTACAGCGTAGAGGAAGAAAACGATAGGCTGGCCCAATTTGGAAAATTTGTGGCTCTTAGGAAATTCGGCGTTCTTGCGGCTTGTAAGCGTCGAAAAATCACGTTTAACTTTATTCTGTTCATTACAAAGATTTGTGGCTACTTCTGCCAGATTTTTCTAAGAATTTATCTTAATGGGGCCTGAAATAGTAAGGAAACTCCCCTACTGGCCCTGAAGCCACCAAAAATCAGAAAAACAATCGGTTTAAAAATGTGTCCGGATAATTCTGAGACACCCTGTAGTCAAATTTGGGGACCGTTTGGGGTATAATCCAAGAAATGGTAGTAGGGTATAATCGTGGGAGTTGTTTTTATGCAACAACTGGCAAACACAGGGAACAAAAAGAGAAAACGGAATTAGCATTGGTGCAACGAGAGCCGAACGGGGATACGGTAGCGGTACAAACCCGCCCCCCCCCCCCCCCCCCCGGATGCGCCCCCCCCCCCCCCCCCCCCTCCCATTTTTAGTACGGGTGATAGAACTGCACCACCGAACCATCACCTTGATCACCCTCGCTCCCATTTTTCATCTTATTTGTTGCCAAAGGAGGGAGATAAACGTCAGCCCAGAGAGAACTTGGTTGAAAATTATATAAATATCAGCCCTGAACCCCCGCCACGCGGGGGCTCAGCGCTGGCCCTCCCCCCGCCCCGCCTACAATTTGAATTTGGAATTTGAATGCAGAATTTTCAAATTGCGAGAAAGTCCCGAACTTCGAAATTTCGAATCCACCTGGTCAGTGGTCAACAAAGTATTTCCCCAGTGGAGATTCAGGAAACTCGGCTGGAAAAAGTGCTTTCAATACAAGGCCGAGGTTCGGAGAGCGGCTTCTGCCCCCGTATGCTTTTAAAAAGCTTACAAATGAAACAATTTCCGGTATATTGTACCGCTAGAACTTGTGGATCCGTTAGAAATTCATCAGTTTTTGAAGCGTATGGAAAACAAAAAGTGTTGTGTTGCGTTCTTTACTGTTTGAATCTGGGGTTAAGTAAAAAAATCGATTTATTGACAGGCCTTCCACAATGGAATGTAAATACAAACAATGGGGGCTAATCGGGCAAAGTGCTCCGATCTACTTCCGGCCAAGAAGACCTCCGAGGAGTCCGCTTCCACCGTTTCCGCCGAGAACTCCTCCAAGAAGTCCGCCAGCTCCTCCATTTCCACCAGTGAGACCACCAGTCAATCCACCGAGAAGTCCTCCTCCATTTCCGCCAAGAAGTCCACCAAGCAGACCGCTGAGAAGGCCAGTATTATTGTCGAGGGCATTTCCGAGAAGTCCAGCTGCCAGACGGCCATTAAGAAGGCTCAGGAGAAGACCATCAACAACACCAGGGGCTCCAGATGGGCCACCGATCAGACCTGAAGATGATCATGTATTTCTCTCTCTACCCCCTAACTACTTACCATCGAGAAGCGGATTTCCGTTGGCTCCAAGAAGATGTCCGAGAAGACCTCCATTTCCAGCCAACCACGTGTCAAGGCTAAAGGATACTGTAGCTAGAGCATTCTTTAGTATTCTTACGTGGGAAGGATATCAAAGACACTGCAGAGAAGATCAGACACTTCTCCAAGAAGTCCCTGGTTGACCTTGTCGAGAAGTGGCTCGGCAGTCTGGAGGATTTGAAGGCACAGATTCGTGAAAAGAGCGCTCTTTCCAGCCAGAACACCTAGAAAAGGATGGATTGTTGGTAGATGATCATACCAGAGATGAGGTACTCAGCATCAACATTGAGCACGAGTCCACAGGGGCCATTTGGCACAATCATCAGGGATGGAATCTCGAGGGTTCCCTTCAGAATATCAAGATGTTCCAGGGTGTAGGCATCAACAGTTTGTCCTCCAATGGTAGTGGTTGTCTTGTTGAGGATACGCAGTTTGGAGACTGAAATAGAAAAGACATTTGAGTGGAAGGGAGTACAACTCACTCCAATCAACAGCACAAGCCAGTGCCTTGATGTCTCCGATTGGGTTGGGGCACTGGAGGCAGTCAGTGGCCGCTTGGTCGTTTGAGCCGAGGCCCAGTTGGGCTACGGTAGCCGAAGCAAGGAGGCACAGGGTGGCGATGCGAACCGTGTACGACATTGTGCTAAAGTGTAGAGGTGGAGTGCGATTTTCAGGAGGCCTAGGGCTAATTTTTCGTACGTTGTAAGAATGCGAACGTTATAGTGAATATTTGGATCTAAAATACTTTAGACTGGGTTACTGCTATTCATAAAATCACATCCTAGTCAAGCTACGCTATTCAATGCTGCAAAGGTGAGTAGATTTACTAGGTAGAGAAGAAGAGATGAAGAGCTCGAAGCTGATGCTCACTGCTGCCAAATGAACGTTTTATACCCGCTCCGAACAATGGCATTATTCAGAACCCATGTTATTTTGCGCGACTTTAAGCAAAACAAGTCTGCCGTTCTTCCAAGGCTTGGACATCGCGACCAACGGCCCTGGTCCGCCAAATTGAAATTTGCGACAATGCCAAAGTCCAGGCAAACACGTTCCAGCGTTGCCTTTCCAAAATACCCAATGTTCGACTGACCGCCCGGGTTGAACGGTAGCCAACGGGCACAGCGGGGCGCCAAAAAATATTCAAGATTGGGTTCAGCTAGACGTGTCGTTTGTTTTGTTGGGACATTTGATTTCGAAAACACTGCATTGTTAGTGGAAGCTCGGAGATTAAGTTTGACACGTTCCGATTGGTATAAAAGCTACGGGCTTACCCTGGTCAGCATCAGCTTCGAGCTCTTCATCTCTTCTTCTCAACCGAGTAAGCTTACTCGTCTTAACAAAAATTTAGTCTAGCTTTTCCTAGCTTACGACCAATTGTTCATAGTATTCAATACGATCTAATCGAACAAATATCAAGAACCGGAATTATTTTCCGCTTTTGTTTATGCTACTTTGCTTACTGATAAGTCAGTTTGACTTACAACAGCTAAAATATCATTTAACGACATCCAGAAGACTCCAAAGCTTCAAGTAACAGTAAGAGCTCCTCGACTAGGTTCACTTTATCGTTCATAACCTCATGACTCAATAGTGGCAAATAAGTCTAATAAGCCTAATTATCTTTAAAAAAATTACCCACCCTTTAGCACAATGTCGTACACGATTCGCATCGCCACCCTGTGCCTTCTGGCTTCGGCTACCGTAGCCCAACTGGGCCTCGGCTCAAACGAGCAAGCCGCCACTGACTGCCTCCAATGCCCCAACCCAATCGGAGACATCAAGGCACTGGCTTGTGCTGTTGATTGGAGTGAGTCGTACTCCCTTCCACTCAAATGTCTTTTCTATTTCAGTCTCCAAACTGCGTATCCTCAACAAGACAACCACTACCATTGGAGGACAAACTGTTGATGCCTACACCCTGGAACATCTTGATATTCTGAAGGGAACCCTCGAGATCCCCTCTCTGATGATTGTGCCAAATGGCCCCTGTGGACTCGTGCTCAATGTTGATGCTGAGTACCTCATCTCTGGTATGATCATCTACCAACAATCCATCCTTTTCTAGGTGTTCTGGCTGGAAAGAGCGCTCTTTTCACGAATCTGTGCCTTCAAATCCTCCAGACTGCCGAGCCACTTCTCGACAAGGTCAACCAGGGACTTCTTGGAGAGGTGTCTGATCTTCTCTGCAGTGTCTTTGATATCCTTCCCACGTAAGAATACTAAAGAATGCTCTAGCTACAGTATCCTTTAGCCTTGACACGTGGTTGGCTGGAAATGGAGGTCTTCTCGGACATCTTCTTGGAGCCAACGGAAATCCGCTTCTCGATGGTAAGTAGTTAGGGGGTAGAGAGAGAAATACATGATCATCTTCAGGTCTGATCGGTGGCCCATCTGGAGCCCCTGGTGTTGTTGATGGTCTTCTCCTGAGCCTTCTTAATGGCCGTCTGACTGCTGGACTTCTCGGAAATGCCCTCGACAATAATACTGGCCTTCTCAGCGGTCTGCTTGGTGGACTTCTTGGCGGAAATGGAGGAGGACTTCTCGGTGGATTGACTGGTGGTCTCACTGGTGGAAATGGAGGTGCTGGCGGACTTCTTGGAGGAGTTCTCGGCGGAAACGGTGGAAGCGGACTCCTCGGAGGTCTTCTTGGACGCAAGTAGATCGGAGTGCACTCCAAAGTACCACAACCCTTGTTTGTATTTACCTTCCAATGTGGAAAGCCTTTCAATAAATCCTTTTTTAATAGATTATCTATTCACATGGCAAAAACAGACAATAGAGAATAATTTCTAGGCTTTCATTCAAAATTAAATGCACGGTAATCGGAATGGTAAATGGCTCGGACAATCTTTTCGGTTCTCGCGTTTGAAAGCAGTTCTTTCTTCATCTCGACCTTTTTGCTAGCGCTCTTCATGGCATGCAACGTGCTCGACATGGTCAGGTGGTTTAGCGCCTAAAACTCTGTGTTTCAAATAATATTTTTGAGGTTTGACCCGTTCAGATGCGGCTCGCGGGACCTCAGCTTTGTCGAAAATATTTAGGAATTGGCGTCGCATGTCTTCGCGATCTTCGGAGTAGTAGATGACCTCGTACTTTTTGTGGTCCTGGTAGAGGCCGCAGAATCTGAAGGTAGTACGTTGCGAAATTGTGGGGTACCTAGATACCGTTAAAGTCAGCTAACGGAATGAATAATGAAAATGAGAACAAATAGAATGAAAAAGCTTCCTTAGACAAATTTTGGATATAAGGAATGAAATTGATTTAATTGAATTATATTCAAATATGATTTTTTTAAATTTTTGAGAAGGTAATTGTCATAATTTTGAAAGCAGGGTAGTATTGACGACAGTGATGCTCTAATGAATGCCTCTTACTCGGTATGTGGAAAAGCGTGAAGCCTGACGATCGGATTCTCGGTGACAAACGACATGTGCCCGGTGTAGGATAGATAGACATCTTCGGCAAATTGATGAATCGTCTTGTCGCCGCACTGGCTGTTGGTACTAAATCAAAACTTCTATACCATTTTTTTTTGTATAAACCTACACGCAAAAATGGCCATAAATTGACACGAATCGATCGATCGGATCTCGCACAACCGTAAAGAGTAGTGGCGGGTTTTTCACCGGCCATGTGGCGATGCCGTTGTGGATGAAGCTGTCGTTGAGGAAGCATGGGCTAAAACATTGAAATTATTGGTTTCCGAATTGGCGATGCTCTAGTAAACGAAGCCTACTTTGCCCCATCCAGGCCTGCATCGAATTTCTGCTCAAATTGGATGCCATGCAACATCCGGAGGAGGTCGCAAAGAATTGTGTGGATGATGGTAGAGCCAGTTTTGGGGACTCGGCAGTAGGTGAGGCCGATTCCGGTGTCGTTCTAAACGTGGTTAAGGATCTTGGTATTGGACTATTAGCGGGGGGTGATATTTTTATACGACAGCTTATCGCTAATTTGATTTTTTGCCTATCCTTTACTGTTAGAAAATAGATTTTGTTATAATAGCGTTTTTAGGCGTTTCTGAATGCCAGAAACTCACAAATTTTTATATCTTTTGAAATTTCAAACATTGTTATAATTTTTCCGTGTAATTTTTATAGCTAACAGGGACTTCAACTGCTATACTAAAGATCAGTTCTCTTCCCTTAGAGGTTTGCGGTATTAGTTCAGACAAATGGATTCCACCCCCCCCGCTAACAGCCCAATACCGGTATTTTACATTGTAAATATACACAATTAGTGTTCAAAAAATGTAAAACATTCTGGTTTAAAACCTCACCAACGCTTTCGGAATTGTCAAATTTAGCTCGAGATCATGAATCGGCTCCGTGGCTTCGATGCTATGTAGTAGAATTACAGGCGTCTTTTCCGTGATTTCCCTGTGTTCAGAGCTCTAAAAACAACTGTAAAATGAGTGTGAAATCTTTGAAAACCCATTAAAAATCCCAACCTTCCATGCCGGCGCTGCATCCAGAATCCCTTCTTGGTGTACCGTCACCAAATTCTCTTCTGTCGTTAGTAGCAGCCCGGAGCCCAGGTACAGTACACAGGCCGCCAAGATAAAACCCGCAAAGTACGTTGTATTCCGGAATGCCGGCGATGCGGAGTGTTTTTGGAGTAGCGGAACGGACAGGTAAGAGTCCATTCTAAAAAATCTAACTGTTGGCATTGGCCTGAAAATTGGCCGAGAAGGCTTCCAAATAAGCCAATAAAACCCCAGGAATCGATTTAAAACGTGGCCAACATGAGGGCTGGAGCGGAACAGGTACTGCCGGAAAAGCGGATCGAAAATTGTACACCGGCGCGGGACGTGGAGGTGGTCAGGCCGTACGTGGGGGCACCGCCGATACAATCGCCCGCACTTTCGATCCGCCGTCGGGTACCTAGAGACTTTCCAGGAGCAACCCAGGCCCACCCAAATCTGATCGTCTCGCCTTGGGTATCCATGAAAACACCGCGATTCTGGAGCTACATGCCGGATACGATGAGGTATCGGACGGAGAAGATGTCGAACCGAGTTGGGTTGACGATTATTGCGTGCAGGTTGGTTGGTTTGATGGGGTTTAGCTTATGTAAATTATTGCATTATCGGGGCAAAATAAATTTTTGCCGAGTTTGAATAAATTTACATTCAAAGTGCTTTTGCATTATCGGGGGACCGAATTTTTTTATGCACACAGAAATTCCTAGCAACGTAATATTAAAAATTTGGTAGTGTTCTTGGAAAAATCAAACTCAATTACTTGTAAAAATTTACCGAAAAAAGTTCGAAATTAAAATCAATTTTTTTTTTTTTTTTTTTTTTTTTATTTTTTTTTTTTTTTTTTTTTTTTTTTTTTTTTTTTTTTTTGCAGCAACCCTGGAAAAACCATTTTTTAGCCTTGGTGTCGTGTTCTTCGTCGCCTGTCGCTCGGCATTAAATTCGTTGGAAAATGATGAACCGAACGTGCTTGCGGGGTTTGTTGCGATACCTTGAAAGCCATTAAATCTGGAAATATTTAGTTTTGAGTACGATCCGAACGACAATCGATACCTAGAAGCTACCATTGGGTCTACATGCAAAGAGGTACAAATCAAACGATAGTTTAATCAGCAAACCCCTGAAAAATCTATTTTTTAACAAAATTTTATTTAAATTTAATAATTTATATTTTCCTGACTATGCTCTAATTTAGTGAACAATCAATTATATTCATTCCAGGTGGCAGTAAACTGGCAAAACGTCCATCTATCCGGGCCCATGAAGCACAAGACGCGGAAACCGAGCGAAAAGTTGCTGCCCGATTTCAGCCTCTATGGAAGGGTTGCTGTCTATCCAGAGTACGCCTAAGCCTTCATGCCAGTTCTCGTTTACAGTAACAAAATGGAAACCCTACGCACGGATCGACTGTTTTGGGACGATATTGACACTCGGATTGGGTTGAGCCGGAGGGAGGCGTTGGCCAAAAATGATCATGGCGGATTTGGGGGTATGTTAATTTTTATCTGTTTTGTAGCTTTCTCAGATTGTTACTCGCAAAATATATTTTATATATTAAAATATATTTTTAGTTTCTCCTTAAAATGTTTTGTTTTCAGAAGCGGCGTTCGAGGCTTTTGACCAATATCGGCATTATATCAATGGCAAGCGTGGAGGGGTTATTAATGCGCCGACATCTTGGGTAAATAAAAAACTATTTGCTATTTGGGCTCCAATTCTACAATTTCTGAACCTCGACAAGCTAGAAGAGCTTCTTTAGGAATTTTTGACGCCTACAACTCAATTTTTCAGGTCGAAGCAGCAGCTTTCCAGCACGGCGCGGCTTCGATGATGTCGATTGGGTACCGGCAAGTGGAAATCCAGGTGATTTAATTTAACCCGATTCTTTTGAGAGTTTTGTCGATACAACATAGCGCTATAATTTTTGAAAATTTTAGTCAGCCAACAACCTGACCTTCATGCACCCGCTGGACATTTGCAAGCAGCAGCGAGAGTAGGTTTTAATGCCCCCGGTTTAACAATTTTTAGCACGGTGAATTCGCTCGATTTCGCTGCGGCTTTCACAACAATTGAGAGGAGCGGCCTTGGCAGGTAGATATGAGCAATAGAAAGTAGCATACTACGTTTAAAGATTAAATCTACGTCATCTCACAAGCACTCTAAATAAATTTTATTTCCCCCGTGTTTTATATGACGAAAAACGGCATCAATCTCAGCATTTTTCTGAATTTAATCTTGCAGTTTTATGACACTTTTCTGCATGGTAAGCTGTTTTACAACAATTTTTCAGGTTCAACGAGGCCCTCGACCCGTGGGGCGATTTGCGTATGATGGCCATGGTGCGGTGTCTGCTCAAATTTGACGGAATTTTTGTCCTCGGTGTGCCGTTGGGTAAGTTTTTATTATATCTTATTGCCTCTCGGTTTATTTAGTGATATCTATATTTTTTTAGGCGAAGACGCGTTGTTCTGGAATTCTCACCGAACCTACGGATCGTTGAGGTTGTCCTGGCTAGTTAGAGGTAAGCCTTTATCACAGATGGAAATCGACAAACATACTCTTTGAACTTATTTCCTTTGACCTCGCTTTTACACTTTATTATTTATACTTTGTAGGCTACAAACTCCTCGGGTCGGTCTGGGTGGAAGATGGCGAGCGGAAAAGCTCACGAGGAATTCCGCAGAAATTCCTGACCCGAGCGGAAGGCGATAAGATTATGCCGGCCATCATTTTACAAAAGGTTTTGTAGAGATGGGAGGTAGGAGAGGATTAATAAATATATATTCGATGAATGTAGATAAAAGAGGCTCGAAAAACACTCTTCAGAAAGTTTTAACAGTTCTCTTAAATTTCTCGTCAATAACATTGAAGTACGCACCTCGAAACAGTCCGAACACAAAACCAAGGCGGCAAAAATAATTTTAAATAATAAAGAATACGCAAATAATAACTATGGTAAAATAAGGTCAGGGCACTATTATTTTTGCCTTGCTGTGGCCTTTCCAAACCCCTATTAGCCGATTGATAAAGAAAGCAAGATGATCCAGGGGAACCAAAAATGAGCCCCCCGGTACGATGATGGATCATTTGTACTGAAAATGGAATGAGCGCGCCTGGCGGACATACGATTCCGGTTGGTAGCCCCCGGAAAAGTTTCGGAGCTGCTCTAGGGGGGCTTTATTCTAGTGGTACCGTATGTTCAAGAAATTTGCTTTTGCGTTCGATTAAAGTTTTGATTAGCTATGAAAAGTGCTTGGTTACTATTTTTCTTATTGTTGTCATTATATACACTTAATGTTAAGTATGCTGTCTGACAAGGTTTGTGTTTTGAGTCATCGGCAAAACGCGACCTAGCTCCTCTGACAGAGGATTGAATTCTGAACAAGATCCGGTTGTTTATTTTTGCGAAATAGCTGTTTCCGAAAATTTAGAAATATTTATAAAATTAAAAAAACTAGTGACCGTCCATTCCCATGAGTGCCCTTCGAGCAAAAAGAGAGGCCTTGGGGTGCATTTTTAAAAATTAAATTTAGGAAATTAAGGATAGCTATTCCGCAAAAAAGGATAACGTAGACTTGTTGAGAATCGAATTCTGTATCGTATTCTGTATTCTGGTCGTAAGGCTCAAAAAACACTCCTGGTTAGCGGCAATAGGTTTCTACTACCTGATCGACTCGAAGACAAAGCGAAAAATGCTTTTTTTAATTTGATCTGTTAGTATCTAGCACGATAAATTTAAAATCCTCTAACGAACCCACAACCTATAATCTATAATTCTGACTTGCCGGTCCCTTTGAGCTGCTAGAAATTTTACCCTACCATGTTCCGCAGCCCCACCAACCATCCACCGTACGTCCGATCAGTTAGGCGAATCCACTCCGGAGCGCCGTCAATGAACCTCCAGCATTTTCCCCAGACAATCGGATGCCTTTGCTAGGCTTTTGCTTTTCTGTTTGTGTGAAGAACTATCAGCAAGTGACAGACAGTTTGCCTGGGAGTTTTTAGCATCGGCTGGATTTTGCGGCACGTATATAACCCGGGGAAAGAGAATGACTGACCGGGTTACGGTAGTCGTCGGAAAGGGAAAGCCAATAAATTCTCTGAAACTAATAAAAAGCGACATTCACCATGAAATATGGATTTTTGCAGCTGCTTTATTTTGCTGGCGTCAGTTTTGCAAGTAAGCTGGGAGCTTAGAGCTGTTCTATTACCGGGGGGGGAAGGGTTTGTATCGTATTCAACGAAGTTTGATCGCTAGAAATTTTCGATTCTGGGTTTTACGATTTCATTACACTTTTTTTTCGGAATTAAAGCGACACATATGCTAGCTATTTTGTTGGCGTAAACTTTGCAAGTAAGCTGGGATATTGGAGCTGTTCTATTAACGGGGGGAGGGGTGTTTTGTACCGTATTCAATGGAACCGGAATTCCTAAAAAGATTTGCATTCCATCACGCTCTGTTCCACATATTTTTCCTTTCCAGTCGAAGATGTCTGGCTGGGGCTCCAGGTCAGGAGCATGGTAAGGTGGTGCTTTCTATCCTTTAGCGAACGTTTTAGAAAGAAACCGGCATCGGCCTCGAATTTTGTAAAATTCCAAAAACCGGCTCAACGATCGTGGGCAACATTCTATGCGATGTGATTCGAGAATACCATGGGATCACCTACGCGCAGAATATCTCCGACAGGCTGGATGGGGAATTGTGGGTGTTAAATCGCTATCAATTGTTAGGAATTTTGGTGTCGAAAATAGTTAATAATATTATAAAGACGATTTACACGACCTATGCCTTTTTAAATGTTGCATTTATTAAGGGGACAAATTTTACGATTTATTGATCGGGAATAGACTACCGTTTTTCTGCAACCGAATTCCAAAAAATAGGCTTTAAAGCTAATTAAAAACCAAATAATTGAATATTTTTATTGCCCATATATTTTATTTCAACCCTGGCCCCGGCTGATCCGATGATATTCTTCACTTTCCATAATTCTCACGATTTTCGATGACAAAAAATCAGAAACGCTCCCTCTCTTCCCTTATGTAGGCTAACGCAACTTCCGGCGTATGCTAATTGTTTCCTAACAAAGGGGGTGGCTCATTTTTCAACAAAAACTTAATTTTAACGTCGAAAACAGCTCATTTTTGAAAAGTTTATTGGTGTGCAGTCATCCCCAGACCATTACGCACTTAATGACGTATCAAACATACCCGTAACTACTCCCCTTATTGAGATACTACTGGAACAACCTGACGGAAGTTGCATGTAAATGCACACAGACACACACACAGACACTATTTTTTTATATATAGTAGGAAGTAGGATTCATATTGATTTTTATTTTATAAGATATATTACAAGTAAAATTTATTAACTAAAATTTAATTATTATTGAAATATTATTGAAATATTCGATCTTTTACAGTATAATTTATAGGAAATTAGTCAGAAAATTCACATGATCAAAAGAAAATATATAGAATACGATCTCTCGGCTTCGTAAGCGCAATTTCTCTGTTCCGGCTAAGTTTTCTAATAATTCTTTTGTAAAATTCAGCCCCTGCTTTGCCCACAACACCTTCAAAAGATTCAATAACGGCGTGGCAAAATGGAAACTGCAGAAAAAGATAAAATTCGCCGTCGTCCGAGACCCCATCGACCGTTTTGTATCGATGTACGGCCATTTCTGCTTGTGAGTTATTGCTGGACGCCTTCACCAGGTTCAGGCTCTTACGAAAATGCCAAGGCCGCGACATTCACGAATTTGCCGAGAAGGTGCACGACGCACTAATGCATCGAATCTCATTTGTGAATCGTGATCCCGATATCAAACTGCATGTTCTGCCTCAAGCCGAGTCGGTTTTGTCAATTTTTTCCCTTATCTACCTTGCTTTTCAGTTTCTGTGATCTGGGCAGCAACCTGGAGCAGTACGAGGTCATCTACTGGTCTGAGGATCGTCTGAAAATGAAGAAACAATTTGAGGGGCTATTTGAAAAGGCGGGAGTACCAAAGGAAATTGTCGCAAAGGTAATTAAAAAATTCTTTTGACAATTTTCCGAATTTTTAGGTCTTGCGACACTTGACCGAGTCAAGCACGGCGCATGCGCAGAGGGACAACGACCGAAAATCGAGGTTGAAAGCGGCGATTGTGGAAACGCCGAGTACCGCGCGGCTAGTGCGCGCCATTTACTATGCCGATTATTTGGTGTTTAATTTCAAGTAGCTTTCGCAAATTTATAAATTTTCAAATTTTATGATTGATTGAATCTGGCAGTTTGAAAGGGAAAAAGTGGATGCCCCAAACATCGCATTTTTGGGACATATTTTTCGTTATTACTCGAGAACGACTGTAGCTACGGGGCTAAAAGTCAGGATTGTTGTTATTTAGGGTCTAATACACTGCTGGTCCAATTTTGGGGCCGATTGGATGTAACATGACATGGCAAATGTAACCGAAATGGCAAATGGTTCGTTTTTTTGGGACACTAAAGGGATAGCGGGCGGCATAAGTCAATCGATTACGCGCGGGAAAGAAAATGTCTCTGCGCCTCTCCTCTGGGCGCCCTCTCTCGCCGCTGCATCTGTTTCCCGAAGGGGGGTTCAACAGATGCCTTCTCACTTTTAAGGGTGCCCAAGCTTTTCAGGGCTCAAAAAGCAAAATCCATGCCGCGGGCGGGGTTCGAACCCGGGACCCCCGTTTTGTAGGCCAAGATGCTATCCATTAAGCCATAGTGGCAGCCATTGGATCGGATGGGAACGCCACAAGAGGGAAAGGGGTCCGGATTCTGTGCGGCTTTGGGGCCCAGTGCCGCACAAAATTCGCGCGTCATTTGTACTGCCCGGAATACATAACTATATATTTGCCGGCAAAACATTGGGTATCCCTTTAAGCTAAACTACCTAACAGAGGTCTATACAGGGTGTCCCTATAAAAAAGGCCCCTCTAACTCGACGCAGAAGCATCGGATCGTAATGATAGTAACACCATTCGAAAGCCCTTGAAACGGTTTGCAACAACTTTTAAAACGATGTTTTTATTTAAACCCGCCATTTTAAAAGCCATTGTGTAAAATTTTACCGCTGTTCGCGCTTGCATACGAGCTAATTTGCCTAAAATTCTCCAAACAAAATGACCGTAGGTAGCCGTTGATTAGACGCAGAGGCCGTTGCTTTATGTGTTTAAATGCGTTGTAAAGTTCCGCGTTCAAATAAAAATATGGTTTTAAATTTGTTACAGTCTCGGCGTTTGATGGGCTTTCGATTGGTGTAACTACCATTTCGATCCGATATTTCTGCGTCGAGTTAGAGGGGATTGTTTTTTTATTGGGACACCCTGTAGGCCATGTAATGTACTTGTTGGTTTGAAAGGAAGATTTCTTACACAAAAACGCTTTATACGATCCACGCATTTCCATAGTATCCTTTATGAGGCAATTTTTTAAGACGTCGGTCGTTTGGCCAAAATTATGGATAGAAACGTACTATTTCTGTGGAAATGATGTGGTCGGCTTATAGCTGTCTTTTCGAAGATACCGTAATCTTTACAGCAGTTGGATTCGTCCCTTTGCATAAGCTTTTTCTAAAATTAAGTCGTTACGTTTCTAAAATGAAGTCCAATTGAGTTTATAAAATCTAGTAAGCTATGCGAAAAATCGAGCACTCGGGTTGAGTTCTAGATGTACGCAGATCGGCGGCCTTCCCCGATTTCAGTCTCAGATAACACCGATCGGGGTCCATTTCTGTGCATCGCGGCTTGAAAACTGCACACTCTCTGTTCCAGGGCGCTTGCCCTTAGCTACCGTAACCCTCCGTCAGCCCATCCCAGGGCGCTAAAACTCTTTTTAGGCGTCTGCGAGAATTTAAAAGCAAAAGCGAATAAGTGCTCAATCTACTGTATTTCCTAGGATTGCCTGCATTTTTATTTTATTTATGTATTCTTTCAGTACCGCTTCTGGCGCCAAATCTTTGAAAACAATTTGTTATCCAATACTTTTTACAATATTTTACAATGCTAGACTTGCCTGGGCAACTTAAAAACCCCAAGGACAAAGTGTGTATCCGATAGTTATCCCCAGCTCTCATCTGCCATTTGAGAAACGTGGATATCCAAATCCCACCAACTGATCAATCATACCACCCGCTCCGTGTTTTTCGAGTTCTCCCCCCGGTCCCTGAATCGGGTTTGTGCCGGGTGATCAAAAATCCGGATGCCAGGTATACAGTCCGCCCAGCCAAAAACATTACCCCCAAATTGCGGTGCGGTTCGGAGGATTCTTGAATAGATATGGGCCCAGAATTGGCTCGAATTTTTACTTAGATGAAGCCGATGATGCCGATGAACGTCGGGATTCTCGAATTCGCTACTCGTCTTTAAAAACAAAGATTCCCGTTTCTATGCTGCTTAGCACCCCTGGAAGTAATTAGGATATCACCGTCTTTTTTGGGTTCCAAGCTATTTTGAACAGCCGATTTTTTTTGAGAATTATTCTGATTTGATCGGTATAATTTCTTAGTATCTACAGGGTGTACCAAAAAAGCACGCTAAGCAAACATCCGGTCAATCCCATACTTTGCACAAAGGTGTATAGGACCATAAATAACCCACAATCCTGAGTTATAGCCCGATCGCTACAGTATTTTTCAAGTTATCGCCAAAATACTCTTTTTACCCGATTCTTAACCGTTTTTTCGGCATCTGTTTGGCCTTTGCATCGATTTGCATCGACTTCCGGCTGCGAATCCCTAATTTCACTTAATATCGGGGTGACTTTGGGTTACAAAATTGTTGAAATCAACAGTTAGTCGATTAATTTTCATCAGGCAAAAATGTCTAGGGGATTAAGAAGGCCTGCCGCTTTATTTTCATTTAATATTCGAAGGGTCAATTCGGACGAAAACTCTATGAAAAACGCATTACCATTTTTTTTATTGTATCTTGAAAACTACTGTAGCTGGCGGGCGATAAGTCAGGATTGTGGTTATTTAGGGTCTAATGCACCCCTGGTCGAATTTTGATCAGATGTGATATGGAGAAATGCGGAAGGGTTGCTTTTTTATGGGACACCCTGTAAATTCATAAAATTCACCAAATCAAAAAAACATGGAAATGCCCAACGTCGTCGACTCTATTTATATGTGCAAATTCAAGGACAATTTCGGTAGATTTTTGGGAAGGGCGGGATGCAACATTGTGCAATTAAGACACTGTAACCAGTATTTTGATTGCAAGAATATCTACGATCTACGGAAACAATTTCGAAATGGACCGCTGTTCAGTTTCATCTTTTTCCCTTTCAAAATTTCAGCATTTTATACATCTTTGGCATCAATGTTTAAGCGTATGGTTTAAGGCTTTCTCGACGGCTTGCTGGAACGGCTTCTCAATTCGCCCGAGTCCCACATCCGTCAGGTGGCAAGTGTTGTCAAAGTAGGCGAGCTTCCGAATTTTGTCGTAGGTTTTGAGGATTTGGTTCTGGCGGTCTAAATTTTAATTGCCTTTGATGGATTGAACCTGTATAAAATTATTTCATTAATATTTTTAACGTGTCCAAAAATCTCTGATGATTCGCGCCGTAGCTTACCTATAAACGGTTCCGACAAATCGATCGGGTAGCAATTTTTGCATCTATTCAATACATTTCTTAGACGTTTTCGAGGGTTTGAGGTGAGAAAGGCTGGTTCCTAAATGTCAATCTTCGGCGACAATATCCAGATTTTCAAGAACATCAATTTTATATTTTTGAGAAATGGGGTTTTTGCGCTTTGTAATTTTTAGCCAATCAGATAACCCTAAATCCGTAAGCTCCTACATCATATTTGAAGTCCAGTGTCGATACATTGCCATTTTTCTCTAAAACATCAATGAATCTATTCAGATAGTCCATTTTGTAACCATCACATTTATAGGGGCTGTCGAGTTCGAGGAAGAGCTTTTTCGTCGTTTTGCTAAAAAATGATTTTTGCTAAAAGTTATGTTAATACTCAAAGTACCTCATTCTACCAATTCCAGCCCTATATCTTTCCAGAATTTCATCATCCCGCCTTTTGACATATCTATAGTCCTGGAGCTCCATTACATATCTTAAAGTACTTTTAATGTTCCGAGCTGAAGGATGACTTTTTTCTTTATTATTAGTAGTTTTGTGGGTCTTACCGCAACAAAACAAATATGTAATCCGGTTGCAGCCCTTCCAGGTAGCTCATCACGAATTCGGTCTCGGCTAAAATGATTAATTTTGCATACATTTTTGAGTTATTACGATCTTGTTGGTGCATGCCGATACAGTGACCAGCTAGTGAGAATAAGTCCATAGAACTGGTAGTGGAGGGCGGAAACAGCTTTCGGACAATCTGAAGCCAAAGTACAAAATTTTATTGCGCTACCCAATATTACACCCCTAGGTCTTAAATTAAAAAAGGCTTGATTGCAGTTTCCCCTCCTTTCTTCTTCCCCCTTTTTTTTTTTTTTTTTTTTTTTAAGGGTTAAATATACAAAAATGGGCTTCTTGCTCTGGCGAGTATTTTGGTATACTTTACACACCTGTAGCTGAACAGGGAGCCGAGATACAAAAGTTGGATGCCAGCTGGGGGGGGGTAAACTGCCCTCTAACTTTAAAAAAAACATATTTGCTGCTTAAGTTTAGGTTCAAAATACAAACCCGGGGCCTGACTTACATGCGCTTGTTGCGTTGCCCAAGAATTTCCAATGATCACGATCTTCAAAAAGCCGGTGTTATTCTAGAAGTAGGTAATGCATGATGTAAGTCTAAGAATCGTTACCTCATAGTTGTGGCTATTTTTATCGACCAAAGGTCCATTAAATGGGCTTACCTGATATGAATAATGTCCAAAAGGGGGTTTGCTTTTTCCAAAGCCATCATCTATAAATTTTCCTCCTTCCAGTCGATATACACTATTCCGGAATTTCGCATTCGCAGCAACTGTCGCATTCTCAACTAAACAGTACTATAGTTAAGTTATCGCTAAATTATGGAATTTAATGACCCAGAAATACAATATCTCGCAACTGATTCCTATTTCTCTCTATCCCGCTCTCTCTCTCTCTCTCTCTCTCTCTTTGTCTCTCTCCGTCTCTCTCCGCTCTCTCGTAATCTGTCTTTCCTCCTGAAAATCTCCGATTTCCCGCATTTCCGAATTTGAATTCGGCGGAGTCAAACACTTTTGGATAACTTTCACTGACCACATCCCGGCTTCACGATCCATTCCCGCGTCCAGAAGATCAACCAGCAGATCAGGAAATATTTTAAAGTATTATATGCATTATCATAAAGCCCAAATTTCAGAAGAGGTTTCTCGTAGATGTGATGTGCAAAAATTGCAGTGCTGAAGGTGGCAAAGAGAGTGGTGGTGGTAACTGGATCAGGAATAATTACGGTAGGGTCTTTTTTGCTTACCGAGAGGTTGATGATTGTAAAAATCGCCAAGGTATTCGCCGATACGCAAAATCGGAAAATGAACGAGGTATAGTGCATAAGAAATGGCGCCAATATAGCCGAAATGTAGTTTTTCGAAGGTGAGGGTGCTAAAATTGGTTTTATCGCAATCTCGCTTTCTCGCTCTCTATCTCTCCACTCTCTCAACTGCTCTCTCGCCTGATCCATGATCCGCTTAAATCCTAACCTTTTTGCTCCCTTCCATAAAAATAGCGCCCCAGCAACCGTAACGATAATCTGGAGCACCAAGTGAAGATGCTTCCCCTCAACTTGAACAGGTAAGAAGACTATAAACGTCACGAACAACATTCCCAACGTGATAGCGTTTTCTTTCTGTTGACTTACACCTGGAAGTTTTACAGTGGAAGATAGAAATTTTGAGGCCGTGAAAGTTCAGCTTCTAACCTATGATCTCGGTCTCCTCCTCGTCTTCCGTGTGATACGCAGCTATCATCCCGGCCAAAAATTGCCATAGTCTTGCCAGTGGTCGGTAAAACCCGGCGATGTCGGTGGCTTGGGAGCGGTAGAAGAGTGACAATACAAAAATTAAGACGAGGATCCAAGGTCCGACTTGGCGATTATCTGAAACTCTACGTTTTACAACTCCAAAGTTTTTTTCGGCAACGTCTTACGGCATCCATACCTTGGTAATGTGGCAATATAAGAAAATTTCGACTTCCTGATATTACCATATTACCAAGGTATCGATTGCCGTAAGTAGTGCCGTCATTTCCGTGTGTAAGCGAAAGTTTGAGAACGCCTAGGCAACGACAGTAAACTTCACCAAAATTTGCCAAAAAAATCGATGCGCAAAAATGGTGATTTTAATGAACTTCGTTTGATATACTTTTTAATTATAATAATATTTAGAATGTGGATTTCCAATATATAAAAATCAACCCACCCTTCAGCTTGACCCTCGATAGCAAAAATATAATCGGCGCAACCAGATAGAACTGCATCTCAACCGCCAACGACCAGGTATGTAAAAACGGCATCTTTGCAGTATCCTTAACAAAATATTACCCGCTGTCTTCTCTATGTTATTAATTTTTAATGTTGTACTACCTCAGCAAAATAGTCGCCTTCTGATTTGAGCATATTAAAATTAACGTAAAATAGTAGTGACGATGGGTAATGTGAAAAATATCGTTTTGCCCACTGTTGAGTATAGGAAAACATCATTGCAATGCCTGGAATAAACCGGATTTTGAAGAAAAATTTTTAATAAATTTTCACAGCCTAAATCAATACTAACCTGTCGCCGCCATCACCATAAAATACAAAGGACATATCCGCTTCATCCGCTTGTAATAAAAGTTCAAAAATAGTTCGCGAAAATTCTGCTCGGTTTTAGACAGGATTCCCATGATTAAATATGCAGAAATTACAAAGAATCTCAATAAAAAGTGTAAAATTTCATGCAAAAACTTACAAATCTACTCCAAGAAATCCCAGGGCAAAAACGTGAGGCCAGAAATGGTAGCCGAGGACGGCGAGGATGGCCAACGCTCGGAGGAGGGCAACATCTTCACGGAATTTTCGTTTTTCTGGAATATAAAAAAGATCAGTCATCTTAATTTGTACAAACCATATAAGTTTCTATATAAAATTAAGCCGAGTTTTTAATTATGTCATGTCCTAGGCAAAACAGATAAAGTTCAAAATTAACGACTTTCTATTTCACTCTGTGAATGCTCCACCGTGAATTCGAATTGAAATTTATTTAATTTTAAAGCATTAGATATTTTGGAATTTCTAGCAATTAAATCACTTTATTTAGCCGAATACGAATTTGTTGAAACTAAAGTGAAGTAATTAAATACACGAATTTTTGAAAGTATTTTACTAATCGATTTAGCTGATTTTAGCGAGTTTCAGCGTTTAATTTTGTTAAACGTTATTTCAGTTTTTATTTAATAGAATTACCATCCATTTCGAACTAATCTACGCAATTTTTGGATGAGATTAACAAGGATCAACCTCGGATCGGTTGAACTGGAGCATCATCAAGCGAAATCTGATATGTAACGTCGATTAGCGGCTGCTTTTCCATTATCGAGTACAATATATGTTATGGCGCCGCGAACGTCAGTGTTCTTCGGTGAACCCCAGCCGGTCAGACGCTCGGGCAGGCTTTTCCCCCCAAGTAGCTGGTGGCACCGGCCGGGGAGTAGATTCCCATCTCCATCCTTCGGTCCGGCCAAGCTTGACCGCACGCTCAAAATGTGGATCGGTTGTTCGCGGTTTTTGAAACGTTGCCTGGGTGAAATTGGTACCAAAATTCGAGAAAAATTGAAAAAGACTTAATTTAACTCAATTAAAAATTAAAAAATCGAATAAAAAATTGTTGAATGGGATTTTCTTGAGCGAATCTTCCCTTCCTATAAATTTCTAGATTCCTTAAAAAAATCCCTAAATTTTCGCATTCGATTACGCTATGGAAAGGGGTTACGTGTAGCTACCACAGCTAAAAAAAGTGGTTCTACCGGGTTTTATTCCTACCGCTAAAATTCGCTACAGTATAACCCGCTTTCTCAAAATGTTTGAACGATAACGGCCGCCTAGAAATAGTTTCCGAACGTTTATGATTTGTTAAGCGCGCCTAAAAATCGGGTTTTATCAAGGAAAATTTTCGCGAAGTCGCGTACGTCCGCGTTCAGCAATTTTAGAAAGCTGAGAGGTTTGTTATGTTTCGGGCGCTATTGAATGTGCTGCGTGACATCGCAAAATTCGGAAAGCACCTGAAAACGTCCCCTGATAACACCATAGCTTTCAAAAATCCATAGTGTTACCTTCCCGGTCCCTTTAATAATGCTAGAGCCTTGACTTCCTCCGAACCTCTTACGATGAAAGCCGTAGTATAATTTCAAAAGCCCCTTTTTTTGCAAAAAGACTTATCCGTCGCCCGATCTGTGCTTGCCTCCACTCTACCCCGCTAGCTAGCCCTATACCGCAAATTTCGCTAGCGACGGAACCGGCTCGTTGCCAGCCCGCCGAAACTTGGGGGAGCAAAATAACGGGCAAGCGGTCAAAATAGTATCTTTTCAAAATAGTAATTTGAAACTTAAATTTAATTTTTTTAATAGTATTCTGAAAATACGCCATAAATCTATATCAATCCGCAGCTGCCAATTACGATGTTCCCCTTTTCACGTTTCAATGAAAATATCAACAAAAAAAACCTTGCTATATTATGCGTTTTTGAGCTTTTTTTTACAAAAACGGAATTATATTAGAACATTAATTGTAATGTTTGGCTACAAAATCTCGAGAATACGAAAAGCTATCATTAATGTGGGTTCAAAGTTCCTTTCAGGACCTCTCAAAGACCAGGTCAACTGGCAGATGGCCGACGAAAGGGCGAAATTTCTTGTTGCCCTCATCTCAAGTTATCTCAAGCCAGCTTTTTTCTTCACAATGGTCGATAAGAGGAGCTTCAACTTTCTGAGGCTGACAGATCGCCAAAGGTCGGCCGTCTACTTGAACGTGCGCCTGGAGGATAAATGTCGGCTGCGCAAGGTGGCGAAGGTACTCATGAACGTTTTGGGCTGACGATTTACTTTCTACATACCTTTCCCGGAATATCAGATCATATTTTTTAGGTTTTTGCAAAACGGGCATTGTTAAAATGACCGTTTGCACCATAACAACTTTTCTAAAACATCAGTTTCCTCGAATTTGGCTCGATTTTCCAAATATACGGCTTTTCGCCTTCAAACTCAATAAAAATCCGGTTTAAATCTATTAAAATATTGCAAATCTAGATATTTTTAGGATTCTAGATTTAAAAAGCTTTAGGTCTTTGCCGAACGGCCAGCCGATCGTTTTCTGCTGCAAACACGGTTCCAAGAGGTTACTGTTCACGGTCCAGTGGATGCGCGGTCAGTCGGATGAAGTCTCACTTCCACAAAAATTCTCAATTCAGGGTTTGGGACTGCCGGGCAGTTGCCTCTACATATTGTCCGATTCCACACGGGACAGCTTTTCGATGTCTTTTGGGAGCCCTGAGCTCCCGATGAGGCTTGTTGTAGAGTTTCGGTGAGTCCGTGTCTGCCTGTCAGCTTCATTTTTTTGTTACTTTTTTTTAGCTCGAACGGGAACCCAACGCCGATCAAATATGAAGCCGACAAAACCCTGAGCGGGGACCCGGCTACACAGTACGCCTTCTTCAATCGCTTGACAGATCTGATGCCGCCACTCCATGTCCATTTCATTTCATGCATTGATACAGCGGTGGGTTAGGAAATTAGTGCAAGTGCTTTAAAAAGCACCGTTTCTGGATTATCTGTGATCGTGGTCGTGATCTGGGTGATCGTACGGAGGGGAGGCCACGCCCACTCCCCTTTCGGAACCAGAACCCAGGTTTTTTAGCTTGCACGAATAATAACACAATCCGACAAAACGGCAGCGACTTAGTGAAATTTCTCAAACACGTGAATCTTACTATATATAAAAAAATAGTGTCTGTGTGTGTGTGTGTATATTTGCATGCAACTTCCGTAAGTATGTACCGCACCTACAGCCTCAGGGGAAGGCTTTTAAGGTACGTATGATACGTCATTAGGTGCGTAATGGTCCCGAGATGGGTGCACACATATAAAATTGAAGAAAATCGGCTGTTTTCGCTATTAAAATTAAGTTTTTGTAAATATATCGAAAAGCCGCGAAGCGGTTTTTCAACCCTGGTGTGAATTTAAAAAGGTTCGATGTTAATTTTTGCAGTACACCCGCGCCTACCGCGCTGAACTGAACGTCACGCGCTGGTCGATCGGCGTAACCTACCGAGGAGTAAATGCGACCGACGTGAACCTGCTGCGAGAGGAGCGATTACTGTCGATACCGCCCTATATGGTAAGGTGTAGAGACGCATACTTTATAGCGAGCCGTCTAGGTCAGACTTCACATGCTGATTGGCCGACTGATACCGGAAGACGTTTGCCGGTACGGCCCACTATTTAACCAGGTTGGATCTGGATCTTTAGTCTAGTGGCGCCGAGGTGCACAAATGGGATAGGGTACTCAAGGCCAGGATTTCTTATCACGCTCACCCGAGTAATTCAAAAATGTCTGTTCTCTGACCCCGTGACATCTGCTAATATGGAGAAACAATTCCAGAGTGAATTTTCGACGTGTTCGAGCATTAATGGCGTCGTAGACTTACTATAGATCCATCGTAAAAATAGTTAATAAGTTGTTTTATGATTTCTTTTACTATTAAAACTAAAACTAGGCTTGATAGGTCCAACAGAACGTTTGATTTTAAAGATGACGGAATTAAAAATTGTCAAACCAAGACTTAATAGTTAAGTTACGGAAATATTTTAACGATTAGTCGGATGGCTTCCACAGTGTGTGTCAAAACGATAGATATTTGAACGCTATTATCTCGGCCCTCGTCGAGTTTGGCGTCAAGTCAACTAGCAGGGATTGTAGTGCTTGCAAAGGCGCATT